ACTCTCTTGTGCTGAGTTACTTTTGTTTGTGGATTTTTTTTCATTTCTTTTGTTTTTGTAGGTTTTGTTTTTGCTGAGACTTTATGTTTTTCGTCTTTATTTTTATGAGTTGGTTTCTACAGAATCTTTGATCAAAATGTTTAGTAATGGTAACTGGATACTATCCAGTTCTTCTGGTCTCATGGCAAAGGATGTGGTTGTTCATGGAGGCAATTAGTCACACATTCCATTTCTTCTTCCTATTCCTGACTCCCCTTCCTCTGTTATTCCAGGTGACCAACTGTTGTACACTGAATGGCTGCTTGCAAGCTTTTAAGATCCCAGGCTTTACGCAATGAAATAGGAAGTATAACAAGAGCAATGAATATGATATTAGGCCAGTTAACTGGGATGTCCCATGAAACCATGATCCTAAACCTCCAAACCAAGGAACCAAATCCTTTGAGGTGTTTGGCTGTCGATAAGCAGCTGTGATGGTTAAGACTATGTGTCAACTTTGCTGGGCCAGGATTCTCAGTGGTTTGACAGTTGTATGATGTTGTGATCACTTCCATGTTGGGATCTGATATAATGTGATCACCCCCATGATGTACAACTTATTGACAGCAATTACATTAATCAGCTGTACAAACCTGTACTTAATCTATGCAATTTTTCCATCACTGTAAACCAAAACTCAGTCACTTGACCAAATTCTTGCCAATGGAATAAGAGTGGAAGGAGTATATGTAGCTTCAATGTGATAAAAATGAAGATTGGAAAGAAAGAGAAATGGGGATTTTTCAAATCTCTGGAAGCCAAAATTTTCTCTGAATTACATCAGAGAACCGAAACAAAACTCTTATTTTATTTACTGACTCTAATTTTAATGGACTGATTAAACAGAACTCCATGTGGTCTGGTAAAATATCTTCTAGTTTGGGATCCATGATTCTGCCTAGCCAAATAACCTTTGTCATTATGGAGAGTATACTACCTGCATTATGTTTTTTTTTTAAATTGTGCCTTAGGTGAAAGTTTACAGCTCATGTTAATTTCTCATACAATAATTTATACACATACTGTTATGTGACCCTAGTTGCAATCCCTATAATGTGACAGCACACTCCCCCTTTCCACCCTGGGTTTTCTGTGTCCATTCAACCAGCTTCTATCCCCTTCTACCTTCTCATCCTGCCTCCAGACAGGAGCTGCCCATTTAGTTTTGTGTATCTACTTGAACTAAGAAGCACACTCTTCACGAGTATTAGTTTATGTTTTATAGTCCAGTCTAATCTTTGTCTGAAGAGTCAGCTTCAGGAATGGTTTTAGTTCTGGGCTAACAGAGAGTCCAGGGGCGATGTCTTCTGGGGTTCCTCTAGTCTCAGTCAGACCATTAACTCTGGTCTTTTTATGTGAAATTGAGTTCTGCACCACACTTTGCTCCTGCTCCATTAGGGACTCTCTGTTGTGTTCCCTGTCAGGGTGCTCACTGGTAGTAGCGGGCACCAACTAGTTCTTCTGGTCTCAGGCTGATGGAGTCTCTGGTTTATGTGGCCCTTTTGTGTCTTGGGCTAATATTTTCCTTGTGTCTTTGGTGTTCTTCATTCACCTTTGCTCCAGGTGGGTTGGGACCAATTGATGCATCTTAGATGGATGCTTACAGGCTTTTAAGACATTAGATGCCACTCATTAAAGTGGGATGCAGAAAATTTTCTTAATAAACTTTGTTATGTCAGTTGACCTAGATGTTCCCTGAAACCATGGTCCCCAGACCCCTGCCCCTGCTACTTTGTCCTTGGGGTGTTTGGTTGTTCAGGAAACTTCTTAGCTTTTGGTTTAGTCCAGTTGTCCAGTTGTGTATTGTGTGTTGTCCTTCCCTTCACCTACTGTTTAGTTAGTGAATTCCCCTCTCTCTCCCTCCCTACCTTTGTAACCATCAAAGAATGTTTTCTTCTGTGTTTAAACCTTTTCTTGAGTTCTTATAATAGTGGTCTTATACAATATTTGTCCTTTTGCGACTAATTTCACTTAGCATAATGCCTTCCAGATTCATCCATGTTGTGAGATGTTTCGTGGATTCATCATTGTTCATTATCGTTGCGTCTGCATTATGTTTTAATATCTCAAAGGTTTGCTGGCAGATTGTTCAGATTTGGTAAGTTACATGACATATAAGGAGTCAATGCCAATATAAATTTTAAAGTTTCACGTGCTCTAATGTGGACCCACGTGCCATGGCACAGTGAGTGGGTGGCGTGGCACTTACCTGCATATACTGCTCACTGCTCCACCTCTGTTCGCAGGTACTGGGTAGAGTCTGACATTTTTTTCAATTGAGCAAAGTTTAATCTTTCTGAACACATGGGACATGTGTTTTCAGTGTTCAACATGCTGTTTGAGGGAGGGAAATGCAGAGTAAATTAAATCTATAATATTCCATTAGCTTTGGGGCTGCTCTAATGTAAAAAACAACTATTTCCTATCTGCACCTTTTAATACACATTCATCATGCAATTTAAGAATTAGTTATATTCAGTCTCATGCAAGATCCCCTTTAAGGATAATATTCTCAAAGGTCATAGAAGGTTCTTTCAAGAAGCTAGTTTAGGAATCTTTAGGAATATAAACAAATAAAGATTCAAAATAAAAGAGCAGCTGAATGTGAAGTCTATTGATAAATCTGTGTGACTGAGTGAAATGATACACACTTACATCTTAAATTCTGAGTATAGAGCAGGGAAGTCACAATGTGGACACACTGTCCAATCATCTTTCAACATATGTCGACCCTGGAAACAGTACATTTAAGGGTAAAATTTATCTTTATTTGTAAAACTCCCACCATTACTCAATTATAATAATTGGATTACAGTTAAAAGCTGGACCTTTTAAATTACAAAATTATTGATATTTTACATAAGTGGGTAATCAATTAGAAAGAGATGGCATCAAAAGGACGAAAGCCAGATTTTATCAGATTCGTCTATAAAGGAAGAATAATCTTCAATTGTGTGATATCACTATCTGAATTTATTATCCTTTAAAATAAAACTTCTATTAACTCATGAACTAACAAATAATCTGATATTTTATGTTTTCTAATAATCTCACCCACCCATTGCCATCGAGTCGATTCTGACTCATAGCAACCCAACCCCATAGGGTTTCCAAGGCTGTAAATCTCTATGGAAGCAGACTGCCTGCCACATCTTTCTCATGTGGAGCTGCTGGTGGTTTCAAACCCTCAAGTTGATCGCTTTAACCACTGTGCCACCGGGGCTCCTTTTTCTAATAATAGGCCTTAATAATAAAAATAAAATAACTACCACTTATTAAGAGCTACAACATGCTAGGTATTGTACTTGGGCTTCATACATGTTATGTCATCAATCTATGCTTTATTTCAATGAGACAGGAACTATTATACTCATTCTACAAATGAACCTAGGAAGCTAAGGCAACTTTCACCAGGTTATATATTCAACAGGAGGCACAAAAGGATTTGAGCCAAGGACCATCTGATCCCCAAGCCTGCCCTGCAGTGCCTCCTTGATATTCATGTAGAGTATTACAAATTTTGAAGGTACTTTGTTGACCAAGAAGTTATATGCTAAATGTGCAGGAAATTTGAGGGATAAGATTATTTCCGAAATGAAGAACCAAGTGTTTAAATGGGTTCTGAATATGCATACAAAGAAAAGGATAATATAAAGAAACTTACTGTTACAATGCAATATGGGATGTTATTTTTACATCCAGGGCAGAGGAGTTCACACTCTGGGAGAAGAAATTCACAGAATGGGCACGGGGTCGTGGCCTCTTCTATCTCGGATGTATCGGGCCTCCTGTGAGGAGGAATCACGTATCACTTGAAAACAATGACGTTTATTTCATGTAACATGGATAGCAGAGAGAAGGCATGTTTTGAAAACCAGTAACATGTTAACACACCAACTTCTTCACAGCTAGACTTTGAGACTAGAGATACTTACCAGCTCACCTGCGGCCCCTCCCCATTGACCCATGCTCCAGCTCCAGGGAGGAGGAAGAGGAACTAGGATTGGGCGTTACATGGGCTGTGTTTGGGAGTTGGTGGAGTTCACAGCAGGTTAAATGGCAGAAAACATGAGTGGGTCTTACCGTCTCCTCTATTCCTGTGCCGCTGAAGTTGTGAGCTTGCCATTTTTCCTCTCTCTCTCCTTTTGTGTAACTGAAGTGATAAGGGCTATCCAGTGCTGCTTAATAGGATTTTCTGTGACAATGGAAATGTTCTAATTGTGTGCTGTCCAGTTCAATACCCACTAGCCACATGTACCTTCTGAGCACTTGAGATATGGCTAGTGTGACTGAGGAACTGATTTTTTGTTTAAAAAATTTTTAGTTAATTTAAAATAGCCATGTGTACTGGACAGCACAGCTCTAGATCACTCTTGCATGGGGAGAGAATGCCAGGTGCTAGGCCGGTGGCACTAAGCCGTGGGGGCAAATGTGCTCTATCATTTGCTAGTTACTGTCTCTCCACCTCACTCTCCATGCTGGCGAGTGTGTTGAATCAGACTGATTTGCTCTGAAGTAACTTAGTCTTCTCAGCTTTAAAAAAAGGGGAATGTTCCATGTAGCCCTGTCCAGCTTAGAGTTCTCCACCATGAGGGTTGGCGCCATGCCCAGCTAACAATTAAGTGGTATTTGCTTCTATGTGCTATCACTGCTGGTGCATTCACCTCCCTTGGCTGAGGTCTGGGTCAAGATTCAGGTTCACCTGGGTCCCCTGGTCATAATGACAATGAATGTTGTTGTTGTTAGGTGCCATCCAGTCAGTTCCAACTCACAGCGACCCTATGTACAACAGAATGAAACACTGCCCAGTCCTGCGCCATCCTCTCAACTACTTGAGGAGGCAGCTCTTCACCAGTTGTATTTTGAGTGCCTTCCAATCTGAGAGGCTTATCTTCCAGCACTACATCAGACAATGTTCCGCCGCTATCCACAAGGTTTTCACTGGCCAATTTTTTTCTGAAGTAGATTGCCAGGTCCTTCTTCCTAGTCTGTCTTAGTCTGGAAGCTCCACTGAAACCTGCCCACCATGGGTGACCCTGCTAGTATTTGAAATACCAGTGGCATAGCTTCCAGCATCACAGCAACGTGCAAGCCAGCAGACCATGACAAACTGACAGGTGATCTCAGTAGATGATAACAAATAGGTACCCCAAATGTCATCACCACTTTGAACAAGTGAGAGTTTAGAATTAATACATGATGCAATTTTTCCTTTTGTAAACTCGAATGTACCTTTTTCTAATTGTCTTTTATAAAATCAGGTAAATGTAGGCCACTTACTGCTTCTGAAGTGAGGACATGCTTTATGTACCCTTGGAGCTGCACAAGGTTTGGAAATGAATTCTCCACCTACAGTGGTCTGTGTCAACATGAAGTTTCTTACACTGAGAAATATTCACTATTTTATTTATCCCTCTGTGCCAGACACTGTTTGCTGCCTACCATTCTTTTCTCCTTTCTTACCAATAGAACTTTGTTTTTACTCAGCAATGTGCTTTGCAGCTAGAGGTAGCCATGTGAGTACTGCCAGTGAGATCTGAATGGAAGTCCTGGGCATGGTGTCCTTCCTGAATGAAAAAACAAGGACCTTTTTGACCTTTTCTCTTTCTACTTCTTCCTGCCTTGAATAGGGACGTGATGCCTAGAAGTGAGCAGATGTCTTGCAACCATGAGGAGGAAACCTATATGCTATAGAAGGCAACGCTGGAAGACAGCAGAATCTGTCCTGATGGCATCACAATGCAGTTGCATTGGCCCTGGGCTGCAATGCCTTGTAGAAGCAAAGAAATCCTGACTGTTTAAGCCATCGTTTGTTGGGCTTTCTGTTGCTTGTAGCTGAATACAATCCTAACTGCTACCCCATATCCATTTTCTTATTGAGCCTGCACATTAGCGGTTAAATTTTGAAAAACACATTTGTGAAATGTGATTAGGTAGTAGCAGTAGCTATCACGGCCTACCTGACCATTGCCTCAATCTTCTTTTTGTATTTGGCATCTATTTTATTACGGTACTCAGGCCTCATCAACATGGCTGCAAAGCTGAAAGCTGAGTTCTTCAGGCCTGCTCTGTGACACTCGATCACAGTAGACGTCAGGATTGGCACAATGTCTGCAACACAAATGGAAGAGCAGAAAGAGCACAACGTCTCCTGTCTTCAGTGGTACTGGCGTGATGCTGTCCCTGGTTCAGTAAAGTAAAGATCAATCTCTGAACTTTGCTTTTTCTGGCAAAGAACTAGAAGTGACCTGTTTAATGGGGAAAGGGAACAGCAGTGGAGTCAGGCCAATCACTCATCAAAATGTCTTTCCTTTGGTTACACCAAGTTCTGCCTTGTAGAAACCAAGACTTGCACACCTCTGAGAGACATTATGCATCCGACAGGACTGCTGATGAAAAGGGCAAGGGAGATGAATAACTATCTGCACTAACCTCTTTGCAGGCATCTAATTATTTCTTCAGGACAGATACCCAGAAGTTGAATTACTGGCTCACGGACCATGACCTTTTCTACAACACTCTTACCACAAATAGCCAAATTGCTTTTTAGAAAGGCCATACCAATTTCCATCCCTAACAGCAGTCACAAGCACGCTTTCCTTGTTGCACCCTTCGCCAGCGTGGCGTAAAATTATTTTAAAGACTTTTTTATGTAAAAAAAAAAAAGATTACATTCACAGAACAGGGGTTGGCGAATAATGACCCATGGGCCAAATCCAGTCCTGGGACTGTTTTTGTATGGCCCGTAAGCCAAGAATGATTTTCATACTTCTAAATGGTTGAAAAAAAAATCAAAACAAGCACAATATTTTATGACATCTGAAGATTATATGAAATTCAAATTTCAGTGTCCATAAATAAAGTTCTACTGAAACACAGCCATACTCATTTGTTTACATATTGTTCACGCTACAGCAGCAGAGTTGAGTAGCTGCGACAGAAACCACGCAGCCCGCAAAGCCTAAGACATTTACCATCTGGTCCTTTACAGAAAAGTTTGCCGACCCCTGTCATAAAATGTGGCTAAATCTATTTATTGGAGGATGTTATAATGAAATATTTTTTAAAATAATGGAACCTTTTCGGTCGAGAAGGGAGAGGGTTGACGTCATGGGGTTGTTAACCAATGTCATAAAACAATATGTGTACTACTGTTTCATGAGAAACTATTTGTTCTGTACACCTTCACCTGAAGTACAATTAAAAAAAAAAAAAAAATAACGGAACCTTTTCAGAGACAATAACCTATACGAGTTGAGAACACAGAGTCAGCCTTACTAGCTGACTGTGATTCTGGGCAAGTATTACTTCACTTCTCTTGCCCCTGTTTGCTTATCTAGAAAATAGGGAAAATAAAAACAGTACTCACGTGCAGAAAAGAGTTAATATAGCAGGTCTGAGACTGCTTTCCTTAGAAAGACCTGCATGCAAGGTTGGCCCTTGGTTGGTATCTGGGAACTCGGATTTTGGGAGGGTTCCCACCATCCCCAGAACTGACAGGAGTGGCTCACCGTGCCTGTTCAGTCTGTATTACGCTGAACACCTGCTTTCCTTCTGGGAGTCAGGAAATTTGATAGGTGCCAGGCAGAGGGTGCCTACATGACCAGTCCCCAGTAAAAACCCTGGGCACTGAGTCTCTAATAAATTTCCCTGGTAGCATTTCACACATGATGCCACAACTCACTATGGGAGAAATTAAGTGTGTCCTATGTGACTGCACTGGGTGAGGACTCTTGGAAGCTTGTGCCTGGTTTCTTCTAGACTCTGCCCCACGTGCCTTTTCCCTTTACTAATTTTGCTTTGTAGCTTTTCACTGTAATAAATCTTAGCCTCGAGTGCAACTATATGCTGAGTCCTGTAAGTCCTCCTAGTGAATCACTGAACCTGGGGGTAGTCTTGGGGACCCCAGACACACTTTATGGGGTTGTGAGGATGAGCTGAGTTAACATATGTAGAGAGCTTAAAATGGTGGCTGGAAGAGTTAGTGAATACAGAGCTTATAATGCTATACTAATGCAGAAATGTGGATACCGAGCTCTTCTCAGGTAGTACTTACGTGATGGAAATTTGCTAATGTTGTTGGCCACCCGAATAAGCATACGTGCCCCTTTCATATGATCTCCATTTTTAACATGAATCTGAAATAAATGATAGATTTTATTCTTCTTAGACACTTCGATTAACCCCAACTGCTCACATATAAAAGAAGAATCCAGTTCATGCTTTGTTCCCTCAAATAAATAACTCCTTGACTTGACCAGAACTGGGTCATCATGAGACCCTCGTAGCCTTTCCTGGCTACTAACACTTGGAGTTTTGCCCATATCTTCCCTGCTTCTAGCAGCTGCACCTGGCACCACAGGCTCACTCCTACTCTACCCTCTTGTTTTACTTTTCCTTAGACCATCTGACAAGTGTTCAAACCCTGGTCCGTGTCTTACTGGCCATTATTGGGGGACTAATCATACCAAGTTGACCAGGCTGTCATGAGACCTGAAAGCTGAGTTAATCAGGAGTTATCAGGAAGAAAGAGAGAGAATGAGTTGTTAAAGCAATAGGGTACTGCCTGCTGTAAGGCAGAAGAGCAACAGTGGGTGGAGGTACCTGAGATTTGGCAGGTATGACTGGGATCTGTGATGCAAGAAAGAGGTGCACTTAGGAAGAGATGAAGCTGGAGAGTCAGCAGGGGCCCGGCACGAGAGGTACTGCAGTCACCCGCGCATGAGATGAGGTGGTGGACAAAGGTGGCGCAGTGGGAATGGCGAGAAGTAGATAAGGAGTTAGACTTGATTATATTTGATAAGTATAGGACAACTCCCAGGTTTCAAGCCTGAGCAGATGAATACTGGTATAATTTACTGAGCATGACAACATAATTAAAAATATTAACTAAATCTAAAAGAAAAGGAAGGCACCGACTCTCTGGGCCTCAGCACTGCCCAGCTCAGCTGTCCACACCCAAAGGTCCTAAGCTGTCCATCAGCCAAAGACACTGTCCTAGCTATGGGGAGGAAGCATCCCCCAAAGCTGAGCCTGGATTTCCCCTGAAATGTGAATGAATCTTTCTTCACTCCTTTGTGTCAAAGATGCCCTTTTCAGTTTTCTTGATAGGATGTGATTGTTCCCCTTGGGATATTACAAATAGCTAAAAATCTTAGAAAATCTTGAAAATGGTTGTTGCTTGCGTAAGAAATTAGAGCAGAGGTGAAACGTCACAAGGGTGCTCTTCTGGAGGAGGGGAGAGGAATCTGGTCCAGAGAGAAGTGATGGGCCAGCCCCAGGGGCCAGAGGAAAAGAAAAAGACTCAAGAAGCATCCCTGTGGCTTACAGTGGTAGAAAGTACTGCTTGCTGAGGGCTTGGTACATGAATCTCCTCATCTTCCACCATCTTGTTTCTATCCCTCCCCCAACCTTACAACCTCCATTTTGCTGGACTCTTCGCCCCAGGGCATTAACATGACCACTCATGTCTGAAGCTGAGAAAAACCTCCCTCCCTCTTTCTACCATGGAGGGGAGTATAAGAGGAGCAGTCCCCCTGTTGATCTGAAGGGAAGTGTACTCCTGGGGATTGAAAGTTGGAATTCTAAGTGTATTTTCCCTCATAATCAGTGTTACAGACCTACGTGGTCCATGTGGCTATTTACATTTAAAAGTTAAAATTATATAAAATTAAAACTTTAATTTCTCAGTTCCACTAGCTAACTACATTTCAGGTGCTCCACAGTGTGACTACCATATTGGGCAGCACAGATGTAGAACACTTCCATTACTGCAGAAAGTTCTACTGGACAGTGCTGATGTAGATGATAATTAGGATCTAAATAATTCATAACACGACTACCCTATTTAGATACTTTAAAAGTTGAATAGGCTCTTATGGACTGGTCTGGGAACCAATTTAATATTAATATGGGAAGATGTACTTGGACATAAATGAAATTTTGGAAAAATATGTAAGTTGGGATCCACCTGTATCTTTACATAAATATATCTGTGTATGTATGTATACATATTCACACATATATGTGTGTATATATACACATACATTTGGAAATCCTGGTGGCTTAGTGGTTATGAGCTATGGCTGCTAACCAAAAGGTCAGCAGTTCAAATCCACCAGGCACTCCTTGGAAACCGTATGGGGCAGTTCTACTCTGTTGTATAGGGTCACTATGAGTCAGAATTGACTCGACAGCAGCAGGTTTGTGGCCGTTGAGTAGATTCCGACTCATAAAACAAACAAACAAACAAAAAAAAAACCCACTGCCATAGAGTCGATTTCAACTCATAGCGACCCTATATATACACACACATATATATAGACATATCCACACATATAATATGTATGTAAATTATACATACAAGTATATTTGTATGCTCTATTTTGTTTCTATTAAGAATTACTGATTAAAGAATAAATACAAGTGTACATACACACATGCATTTATAGAAGTACAGAAAATATATACAACATAGTATTAACTATTATATCTGGGTGATCGACTTAGAGGATGAATTATTTTTTCATTATACTTTTCTATATTCTCTAAATTTTCTCTATATTAATATTATATTCAGAAAAAAACAAACAGTATTAAAGAATGGACCCCCCCCAAAAAAAAACCAAACCTGTTGCCATCGAGTCAATTCTGACTCATAGCGACCCTGCAGGACAGAGCAGAACTGCCCCATAGGGTTTCTAAGGAGTGGCTGGTAGATTTGAACTACCGACCTTTTGGTCAGTAGCCAAGTTCTTAACCACTGAACCATCAGGGCTCCAAAGAGTGGACAGACTTATAAAATCCACTATCTTCGAAGTAATGAACTAACAAGCTCTAGACAAGCAAAAATGTTTTAAGTAAATCTTTTTTTTGAACAGGTAATACATTCATGTGGTTCAAAAATCAAAACCATATAAAAGATGCACAGGGAGAAGATGTGCTCTTCCTCTTATTCCCTTCCACCCCAACTGGGGTTTGGTGCCATGCCTCTTCTGCCCTATCCCTTGTTCCCTTTAGGTAACCATTTTTATTTGATTCTTGAGTATTTTGTCCAATTTTGTTTCCAATGAATATATACTCACTCTTTTTGCTTTTCTGTACACAAAAGGCAGCATACTGTGTAATTGTTCTGCATCTTGCTTTTTTCACTTAAGAACACAGAGATCTAGGATGTCTCTCTAATCCAGTGAAGAAGTACCTGGAGCCGATCCCAGTAGGTGACAAGCACACCTGGCAGGTTATGCCCAGGTCACACAAGAGCCTCACCTTCACTAGTATGTAACTGTGCAGGATCATGAGGTTGGTGGCCATCTCAGAGGGAATTTTGATTTTCTGGGATTTAAGTTCTGCATACATGCTGAAGAGAACATCATGTGCATTCCGATAGTTTCCTTGAGAAAAAGGTGGTAAGATAACGTCATTACAAAGCACAGAATAGGAGGACTTTCTAAGGACCTTCAGTATTTTATAAGTGGATTTTGTTAATTACATTATTATCAATATCTTACTGCTTTCTTTAAATATTTAAAGTCACTTAGCAGTTTTTCTTATTTTAATTGATGGTCCTACCACCCATCCAGTCCCCTAAGGGGGAAATGTGCTATCATCTCAGACATCTCACTCCTCCTCAGAACACCCACCTGGCCCCAAAGTCGTCAAGTTTTCCTGAGTCTACCTTCTGAATCTGTCAAATTCAGTCCCTCTCCCCATGACCCCTGCTAATTCTTCCCAGCATTTCTCTCTGCGGTAGCGTACTAATCAGGATTACTAGTGAGCTTCAGCGACCTCTATTCTGATGTCAGAATATTCTTTTAAAAACCTCAAGCCGTCAGTCACACACCCACATAAAACCTGCATAAAACCCTCCAAAGGCCCTCAGGATCAAATGTGAATTCCTGAGCAGAGCACTTAAAGCCCTTCAGAGCTGCCTTTCTAACCTTATCTTTTGTCTCCATGGCACACTCCAGTCATGCAAAATGCTGCAGCATCCCTGTCCCTCACATCTCCCTACATTTGTGTTCTCACTGCTGTTATTCTCACAGCACCCCTCTCTCATCTCCTGCTAGCTTATCCTTTCAAAACTCAGCCCAAGCTTTTGTTGCCTCCTCTAATCTCCATCCTCCAACTCTTCCCACCCCAGACTTCAGGATGAGGTGGATCTCCTTTCCTGTGCTCTTTTACCAGTTGCCATGGAGCTGATTCCAACTCATAGTGGTACCATGTACGTCAGAGTAGAACTGTGTTCCACAGAGTTTTCAATGGCTGATTTTTGGGAAGCAGACTGCCAGGCCTTTCTTCTGAGGCATCTCTGGGTAGACTCGACCTTTCGGTTACAGATGAGCATGTTGACCATTGGCACCACCCAGGGACTTCGGTGCCTTTTTAGCATATTTCTGTTTCAGCACTTATCACCCTGTATTACAGCTCTGAATTTTCTTCCCTCTCTCTCCCATCAAATCCCGAATCTTTGAGGGCAGAACTGTGGCTCAGTCCTCTCTTTACCCTGAGCTCCTAGCACAGCATCTGACAGACACCAGGTGTCAGATAAACATATGTGAATAAAGTTATGACTTATTTAATTCCATCGTGTCCAGAGCTGGGTTCCATATTCATGAACACCTAATTGAATCAGCTTAAGAAAATTAGTGAGGATTACAGAGTAATTAACTGACTTATTATTCAGTAAATATTTACAGAGTATATCAATGAACAGAACCATTCTGGTGAGTCTATAAATAGACCTTGTGTACTATAAAGAACTAGATCGATAATGATACCACATAATTATCTTCCGTCTGCTAACATCTCTTATATTGCACAGGGGAGTTTGTAGAAGGGAGGCTGTGGGCTGGAGAGGCCAAGGAAGTCATTGCCCAGGAGACGGACACTGCATGAGGCCTTGCAGTAGAGGAAACTACCTAACAAGAGAAGGCCTGAGAGTTATTCTGTATTCCCCTGTGATGGTGAATTATTTTACTTCTCAGAAACCTAGAAGTAGTCATCCTTCTAGTCTTTCGGTTTCATAGCAAACCTAGATTAGAAACTGGCCACACTCTCCTGGGCAGAGAGGGGTGGGGGACTTGAATCTCCTGCCTGTTTGGGGAGAAAAAGATGAACCTTAGGGACCTACCTGAAGACTGCTCTTCTCTGGCAATTATAATGGCAGTCCGACCAGCTTCCCGGTATTGTTTCAGAGCCATGTACAAGCGGAACAGATACTTGGCGTCCTGACATATAAACAGTTACAGAAACATCACTTAGCTAAGGGGAGAAACACCTAACATTTTGCATTTCAGTCAGAATCACATTCACCTGCCAGTAACTGATACTATTTTAAAAAATCCCAATGAATAAAGAATTAGTTTCTCAAACACTTATTCAGAGTTTGATGCATGCCAGGTTCTAAGTACTGTTCTAAGTACGTGAGAAACAATAATTCATTTAAATCCTCACGACCACCCTAGGAGGAAGGTACTATTATTACCCTCATTTCATAAATGATGAAGTTGAAACACAACTAGAGAGGGGCAGAGCCAAGATGTGAACCAAGGGATTCTGGTTTCAGGGTCTGTGTTCCTAACCACTACTCCAGAGAGTATCTCTCGTGTGCTTAAAAAAGAAATGTATCCTTAACAATGTACCAACTTCACAAATTTTCGAAAGTTTTTACATCTATACAAATTCTCTCTGATCTAGAAAGTTTTTCTTGGCCTTTGATCATTTTCCATCCCTATTCCCTCTAACTCTAGACTATTTTATGTACTTGATGCTTGTTTCTAGATTACTGGGATAAGTGGATATAATGTGAGGTGGTTTAGAACAGTTCAAAGGCCTGTGACTTTTGGCAAGTTAACTTAGCCTCTCTCCATCTCAATGACTTTATATTTAAGTAAAGGAAATGGACTCTGGGATTGCTAAAACCTTCTCCAGTTGTGACTTCTATCATCATCATTTCTCCAAATCAGTGATTTGAGTTCCTTCACAAGGAGATATCCTTGAACACCAAAGCAAAAAGGGAGAAAAAACTCCACGGGCTCCCAAAGGTGTGTGGCTAAGAGAAGATGGGTATCTTCAGGAGTCCACAGTGGGTTACATATTGTAAAAATATGCTCTTCACGATTTATTTCTACTGTATGTTTACAGAGAATTACTTTCATGCTTAATATGATGTCAGGCATCTAATTTTTAAATTTATTTTTGTTGTTGTTGGTCTATTGTTGATTTGTGACTTCTAGAGAGACCCCAGCTGTTACAGAGTAGAACCGCTCCACAGGGCTCGTGTGGCTGTCATCTTTATGGAAGCAGGCCTGTTTCTTCCATGGTGCTGCCGGGTGGGTTTGAATCGCCAACTTTTAGGTTACCAGCCGAGTACAAACCGTTTGCGCCATCCAGGGACCTTAGCATCTAATTTGTTTTTGTTAACGAGTATTACTTTGTTAATTACCATAATTTTTGAAATATGAACAAAGCACACGCTGTTGGGGATCAGTGTCAACCCTGTTATATAGTTTCAATAATCATTTTTCATAATCCCTAGAATAAATAAAACTGTAACATTTGAGAAAAATTGTGAGTGGTGGAGACTGTTGTCTAGAAGGGGCTTGGCTGTTTCACAGGTGGCGAGGCCAACTGTAAAGAGTGAATGTACATAATAGCCTCCAAACCTCAGGGTATAACTAGATGAATTCTAAGTCTGCTTTCAGAGATAAAAATGTACAAGTCTATGATGCGAAAGCCGTAACAGGTAAAAACAGGGCAGAACAAAGTAAAACCGTAACTGAGATACTTAGAAGTCCAAAGCAAGTAAACACGTTTAGTACCTTCGGCATGCCATCACTCTCCCCCATAAGGTGGTCTATCAGTTGGCTGGTCAGCAGTTCATCTTTGGCCTGACCAACCTGTTTAATAAGAAAGAAAACAGCAAATCAGCATCTTAAACCTACCAAGAGGAAAAAAATACCAAATAATCTTCTGCTAAGGAAATGTAAAAAAAAATCTATATGTAAAAGTACCTACAGTAAAGTGCCTGAAACCTGAAATAAGCGCAGGTCTTTCTTCAATTCATTTGTAGAGTTTCCACTGATAAAAATGCATCCTCAGAAGCTATAGCTTTTCTCTATTGCTGTATCAAAATACTATATTTTTCATACACATAGAAAATTTATTTCTTGGCTGTTTCGATAAAAACTTTCTTAAGCTAACTGACTATGAAACCTAGAGAATACAGCCTCTTAAGCACAGGAACTGGGCCTGATAAAGCTACCGAGTGCCATCATCTCTGGTGGCTTCCTGAGGAGACACACACGCACCCGGCTGCACACAATCTAAATCATAAAGGGACGAGTGTTACAGCCACAGGAACGCAGAAGAGGGCAGGCCGCAGGAAATGGGGGTTGGGACTCTGGAGACGACACCAGCCTGTAAAGCTAGATCTGAGAATCATTTCCTTAAAGGTGAGAGTAAAGCATTGGAGTGTTGAGTGATACTGATCAGGAAAAAAACAAACAAACAAATAAAAAGCAAAAAAGTACTATATTGCAGGATGGAAATGTACCAGTTTTAGTTAGTAGGAATGGAATATGTGAGATAAGGAATTCAGGGGAGACAGTGAGGAATTACTGACAAAGTTAAAAGGCTTAAGAGTCTTGGTGTTTACAATAGATGGTCCCGGAGAGAATGCGAGAAAAATGTAGAACCTCGAATTCCTAAAAAAAGGCCAGAATTACTGGACAAGTAGAGACAAGATGATCCCCTGGGACTATTGCCCTGAGATATCCTTTAAATTTGGAACTGAACCCACTCCTGGAGGTCACCTTTCAATCAAGTAATAGATTGGCTCATGAAATAATATCACCCATGCGTACTGTTGCTCCTTTTAAATAATGATCTATACGAGACCAAACGGTCAATATTTACCCTAAGGCAAAGATGAGAAGGTAAAGGGGTGGAGGCGGGATAGCTAGATTAATGGGAACAGCACAACCACAATGGAAATAATGAGAATGCTGTCACATTCTAAAACATGTAACCAATGACACTGAACAATATGTATAGAAATTGTTAAATGGGATCCTAATTTGCTGTATTAACTTTCATCAAAAATACAAAAAAAAAAAAAGTCTTCTGTCTATAAAAAAGAGGTGAGCCCAGAACACCACTGTAGCTCAACCAAGGGGAAGACACTGAACAGGGCAGTCCTGCCCTTTGTCATATTAACAATACTGTAGTGAGAAAAGCCACAGGAAAATGAGGAAAACTGTCATTAGAGACAGAGCAACACATGGTCCAGCCTGCTACACCTCAGGGAAGGTATGGGCAGGTATGTGGGAGTCCTTTATGCAGTAGAGGAAGGATGAGATCAGCAGGGGATAGACTTGAGTGTAGAGGAGATCATGTTGAACCTGTGGGGTAGAGAGGCTTGGGGCTACAGTCTCTCTATACACCTCACTGACTGGGAGGTGTCAGTATAAGAAAGCTAAGCTTCTAGGAATCTGTGTTGCCTCTACTCTCGCCACTGCTATAAGGAGGGACACTGGGACTGAGAAATAGTAGAGTTCATTATCCTGGTGGCTTTTGCGGATGACTTTGGGTGAACAAGCCAGTACAGAAAAATGGTTAAAAGTAAGGGTTCTGGAGTCAGCCCACCTGTGTTATCTTGAGCAGGTTACTCTCGGGGCCTCAATGAGGATGATAACAGTACCTACCCCATGAAACTGTTGTGAGGATTAAATAAGTTAATACACATAAAGGGCTTAGTCTGGTGCCAGGCAGATAGGGCTGCCAGATTTAGCAAATAAAAACATAGGCCAGCCAGTTAAATTTGAACTTCAGAGAAGCAACAATTGATTTTTAATGTAAGTATGTCCCACACAAAATGTGTTCAACGCATCAAATCTATTCTTGAGATGGTCTCTAAGTTCAGGTGGGATATGCTCAAGGTCATACTTTGGCTCTCGTGGACTTGTTCTAATTTTCTTCAGTTTCAGCTTGAACTTGCATATGAGTAACTGATTGACTGTTCCACAGTTGGCCCCTGGCCTTGTTGTGACTGATGATATTGAGCTTTTCCATCATCTCTTTCCACAGACGTAGTTGATTTGATCCCTGTGTATTCCATCTGGTGAGGTCCATGTGTATAGTCGCTGTTTATGCTGGTGAAAAAAGGTATTTTCAATGAAGAAGTTGTTGGTCTTACAAAATTCCATCATGCGATATCCGGCCTCGTTTCTATCACCAAGGCCATATTTTCCAACCAATCCTTCCTCTTTGTCTCCAACTTTTGCATTCCAATCACCAGCAATTATCAATGTATCCTGATTGCATGTTTGATCAATTTCAGACTGCAGAAGTTGGTAAAAATCTTCAATTTCTTCACCTTTTGCCTTAGTGGTTGGTGGTTGAATAATAGTCGTATTAACTGGTCTTCCTTGTAGGCGTATGGATATTATCCTGTCACTAACAGCATTGTACTTCAGGATAGATCTTGAAAAGTTCTTTTTGACGAAGAATGCAATGCCATTCCTCTTCAATTTGTCATTCCCGGCTTAGTAGACCATATGATTGTCTGATTCAAAATGGCCAATACCAGTCCATTTCAGCTCACTAATGCCTAGGATGTTGATGTTTATGCATTCCATTTCATTTCTGACGATTTCCAGTTTTCCTAGATTCAAGCTTCGCACATTCCACATTCTGATTATTAATGGATGTTTGCAGCTGTTTCTTCTCATTTTGAGTCATGCCATATCAGCAAATGAAGGTCCCCAAAGCGTGACTCCATCCATGTCATTAAGGCCAACTTTGAGGAGGCAGCTCTTCCCAGTCGTATTTTGAATGCCTTCCAACCTGAGGGGCTCATCTTCTGGCACTGTATCAGACAATGTTCACCATGGGTGACCCTGCTGGTATTTGAATACTGGTGGCATAGCTTCCAGCCTCACAGCAACATGCAAGCCCCCACAGTACGACAAACTGACAGACACGTTGGTGATGGGGCGGGGCGGGTACTGACCTGGAGGAGTATAATTGGCAGTCTAGCTGGAAAGAAGGCTTAGGTTTTTTTCCTAGCTCTATTACTTTCTATTTCTTTAGGTTGGTTATATTATCTTTAGGTTAGTCACATTATCTTCTGGGATCTCAATTTCCTCATTAGTCAAATGATGGGGGCTAGACTGGATCACCTCCCGGGAGATCTAAGCTTCTGTGATCCACGAATGGTCTTGGGAACCACAGAAGGTCCTACCACTGAAGAATAAAACAACTGTAACCAGACATGAGAAAAATCAACCCAGCAGTAAAGTCCAGAATGGACATGTCTGAATGAATGAAGTAATCCCAGGAATGAATAATAAATACAAATATAATAGTTTTGTAGACTACATGTCCTCAATCTTAACAAAATGCCACATTATATAGCACAACAAATGGAAGTAGATTCTGTGGGATTAAAAAACAGCAATAAAAGGAGAAAACTGTGATAGCTATAAGAGACAGCTATTATTTTGTCTGATATGCATTCAGTTCATCTAAGAAATGCTCCTACCTCCATTTTAACCATGAAGTTCTAATAGGACTTCCATGTCTTAGAGGACCCTATCTCCATGGCCACAGATCTTGGTCGAGGGATAGGAATAGACCCAGTTCGCCCAGTCATGCTATTCTATCCTTGTGGCTACCAGTTGATAGGTCTTGGAATGAACAACCAACCAAATCAGCTCTTATGAACTAGGGAACAGAGTTCTAGTCTCTCTTTGGTAGGAAAGATAAGAGATGTAGTCTTGGGAGTTGCTGGCAGTCTTAATTCTGGCTTCCTGGAAGAAGTAGGTCTTAGAAAATGTTTTGGATATGCAGAGAAAAGCAAAGACTAAGAGACCATTTTTACAATAGCTGTTTGTGAATGGCTGGAGAATAATTTCCATTCCTTAACAATTCTACTGTAGTTTCAACATACAGCTATTTTTAGAAAACTAATTTTTATGTCACAATTGATTTGTTAACATTTTTACTGAAAAGGCCTAAACACAGTGATCACCTTAGCTGCAGTGAGTTCTCCTAATACCCAAATTGTGGTCTCGGAATAACATTTCCCACTAAAAAGGAGCCAGGACTTCTTAGAGAAATGGCTGATTCCAGGTCTGGGGCAAGGAATGGAATCTGTAATATCTTATTGTACCTGACAGCAAAGAAGCTATCAAAGATTAATTGGGTTGTGTCACAACAGAGAGTCCTGATGGAGCAGGAGAAAGGTGGGGTGCGGAACTCAAATTCTAGCAAGAAGACCAGACTTAATGGTCTGACTGAGACCGGAGGAACCCCGGAAAGCATGCCCCCTGGATTCTCTATCAGCCCAGAACTAAAACAATTTCCGAGGCCAACTCTTCAGACAGGGATTGGACTGGACAGTGGGACATAAAGTGATACTCATGAGGAGTTTGCCTTTTAGCTCAAGTAAACACAAGAGACTAAATGGGCAGCTTCTGTCCAGAGGTGAGACGGGAAGGCAGAGAGGGTTAGGAACTGGTTGAATGGACATGGGGAATCAGAGGTGGAAAGGAGGAGTGTGCTGTCACAGTAAGGGGAGAGCAATTAGGGTCACATAACAATGTATGTATAAATTTTTGTATGGGAGACTAACTTGAAATGTAAACTTCATTTAAACTACAACAATAAAAAGATTAATTGGGTTGTGTCAGAAGGAAATAAGAGTCAATATAAAGGGACAATTTGGGAATCAAAAAGAATATTAACTGCAATGGATTGAAATACACCCAATATGCTAAAAATCTATGAGTTCATAATGATATTAAAAACAAAAGCACCCTCACTGGCGATCTTTGGAGGATGCTAGGGAATGAACTCGTTATTCTGAAAACTGCTAAACAAAGGGAAAGAATCAAGTATTTACCTTACCTTTACTGTATCTTAGGGTACCCAAATAGCTAATGCAGAAACACATAATTCTTCTGTATATAAGAATCACAGCTAATAAATGCAGAAGGAATGACAGAATATCACCATTTTTCAAACCCTAATGAAATAATGGATTTAATCATAGATTGGTTGTTGAAATCACTATGTGAAAGGTTGATGGGAAATTTTACAATGGCTGGATCAGGCTGACAACACCTGAACCTAATGATCAACCTAATGTCATAAAAGGAGAGACAACTGGAAATTATGTGCCTACTGATGTGATGAATAAGAAATACATGGCACCATCTATGAAGCTGTTTTTTGAAAAAAATCAAACTAACTTTGATCAAGCCTCTAGATTTAACTACTAGTTAGTGGGAAATACATAAGATAGAGAAACAAATGAAAACCACGAGGATGCAATCAGCTAAATCTAAATGTCAGAAATTCCTTGGGACAAATGACCCAGTTTCTTAACAAATCGCAAGCAGAAGGTGGGAGAGAGGGAGGGGGAAGGAAGGAGGGAGACAGAAGACACCCCTGTATATTAAAAGAGACTTAAGAGACACATAAACCAAATGCAATGTATGAGCCTTGTTTGGATTCCGATGTGAACTAACCAACCTACTGTGAAAAAGAATTTATGTGATAATTGAGGATATTGGAACCCTAACTAGATATTTGATGACATTAAGAAACTATTAGAAAAACTGGAACCCTTACACATAGCTGGTGGGAATGTAAAATGGTGCAGCTGCAAGTTAAACATATAGATACCATATGACCCAGCAATTCTACTCATAGGTATATAACTAAGAGAAATGAAAACATATGTCCACACACAAAAACTTGTACACCATTGTTCACAGCAGTATTATTCATAATAGTCAAAACGTGGAAACAACCCAAATGTCCATCAATTGATGAAAGGATAAATAAAATGGAGTACATCCATACGATGGAATATTATTCAGCTACAAAAAGGAGTGAAGTATAGATACATACTGCGACATGGATGAACCTTGAAAACATTATGCTAAGTGAAAGAAACCAGACTAAGAGGCCACATATAGTGTGATTCCATTTATATGAAATGTCCAGAAAGTAGAGTAGTGGTTGCCAGGGGCTGGGGGTAAGGGGGGATGGAGAGCGACTGGGCATAGGGTTTCTTTTTTGGGTGATGAGAATGTTCTGGAATTAGATAGTGGGGATGGGCACACAACTTTGTGAATATACTAAAAACCACTGAATTGTGCACTTTAAAAGGGTGAATTATATCTCAATAAAACAATTACTGTTAATTTTTTAATGTATAATAATGGTATGTTAGATGTGTTAAAAACCTAAAAGTCATTGTCTCAATAGATGCAGAAAAAGTATCTGATAACGTTCAACGACTATTCATAATAAAAATTCTCAGTAAACAAAGAACAGAAAGGTGTGTTCTTAATCTGATAAAGGGCATCTACAAAAAAATTTACAGCTAACATCAAACACTTAATAGTGACATACTGAATGTTTTCCTCCCAAGTTTATGAATAAAACAAGAATGTCCACTATCATCACTTCTATTCAACATTGTACTGGAGGTCCTAACCAGCAATTAAGCAAGAAAAAGAAACAAAAGGTAAAATGATTGGAAAGGATGAAATAAGATTATATTTGTAGATATCCACAAATTATTATAATAATAAGTTTAACGAAAGTATAGGATATGAGGTCAATACACAAAAATCAAATGTTTTTCTATACTATAGCAACAAACATGTGGAATATGAAATTTAAAAATAATATCATTTATATTAGCACAAAAACCCATCAAAGACCTAAGAATAAATTCAACAAAAGATGTGCGAGATTTCTACATACTGAAAACTACAAAATGTTATTATTGGAGAAATTAAAGAAGATCCAAACAAACGGAGGGATATACCACGTTTGTGATTTGAAAAATTCAACATTAAGGTGTCAGTTCTCCCCAAAATTGATCTACAGATTCAATATAATCCCAGTCAAAATCCCAACAGTTTTTTTTTTTTGGCTTGTCTGTGTGTGAATTTACAAGCTGTTTCTAAAATTTGTATGTAAACGCAAGGTACAAAAGACCTGAAAACCAAGTTAATAATGAAGAAAAAGAAAAAACATGGAAAATTTATACTACCTGACTTATTGTAAAGCTACAATAATTAAGATAGTATATTAGTACAAGAATAAACAAATGAATAGAAGAGAGTAAAGAATCTAAAAACAGACTCACACATATTCAGTCATTTCATCTATGACAAAAGTCCCACAGTAATTCAGTGTGGAAAGGACAGTCTTTTCGATAAATGGTGATGGGTCAACTGGACATCCACATGGAAAAAAAAGATCCTTGACACCTGCTTCACGCCATACACAAAAATTAACTGAGGATGGGCATAGGCCTAAGCGAAAAAGCTAAAACAATCAAACTTCTAATATCTTTATGACCATGGGATAGGCAAAGATTTCTTAAACAGGACCAAAAAGCAGTAACCATAAAATAAAAGATTCGTAAACTAGACTTTTTTAAAACTTAAAAACTCTGTTCATCAAAACACCACTAAAGAATGAAAAGGCAAGCCACAGCTTGAGAGATTTTCAGAATACATATATCTGACAAACGACTTGTATCCAGAATATATAATGAAATCCTAAAAATCAATACGAGTAAGATGGGATGATCCAATTAAAAAAACTGAAAAAAAGACTTGAATAGCACTTACAAAAGAAGACATTCAAATGGTCAAAAGACATAAAAAGTTTCTCAATATCATTAGTCATTAGAAAAATGCAAATTAAACCATAATGAGATACCACTACACATCCACTAAAATAGTTACAATGAAATAGACTGATAAGTGTTGGTAAAGATCAGGAACTAAAACTCTTACATTGCTAGTGGGAGTATAAATTGAAAAATGTTTGGCAGTACCTACTACTGCTAAATATACATATACCCTATGATCTAATAATTCCACGCCTGTGTATATACCTAATAATATGTCCATCAAAAACATGAACTAGAATGTTCATGGCAGTTTTATTCATAATAGGCCCAAACTGGAGACAAATGTCTATTAACAGAAGAATGGTTAAATAAATTGTGGTACTGTCATATAATGGAATACTACAGAATGAGCTACTGATATATGCAGTAACAGATGCATCTGCAGACATAATGTTGACTGAAAGAAATCATACGCAGAGAACATATGCGTGATTCCATTTATATGAAGCTCATAAAAAGGCAAGATCAATCTTTAAGGACAGAAGTCAAAATTTTTGTTGCTCTGGGTGAGGGGTACTGATTGGGAGGTAACATGGGGGTGCATTCAGGGAAAATGTTCTATATCCTAATCTAGGTGGTGATTACAAGGGTGTATATACATGAAAAAAACTAACTGAGCTGTATACTTAGGATTGGTTGCTGGGTGGCACACACAGTTCAACACTTGACTACTAACCAAAAGGTTGGTGATCTGCTTCCAAAAGTCACAGCCTTGAAAACTCTATGGAGCAGCGGTACTCTGTACACGCGGGGTCACCATGAGTTGGAACTGACTTGATGGCAACAATAACATACTTAGGATTTGTACACTTTATTGTATGCTATTTACACTTCTAAACAACAACAAAACAACCCAAAGATCCTTATCTTTTAGAGATAAATACTGTACCCACAAATAAAGTGAAATGACGCTGTGATTTGTTTTGAAATAGTCCAGGGAAATAGGGTGGGGGCATGAATAAAATAAGATCGGCCACGTGTTGGTAAGTGTTGAACTTAGGAGATGGGTACGTGGGAGTTTGTGATACTGTTTGCTCTACTTCTGTGTGTGTTTGGAAACTTCCTCAAAAAGTTTTAAGAAAATGGTATTCGTAAAAGTTTCATTAAAGAGTTTACTTACAGTTTCAATTGCCATTTCTATTGCCATATTATCTTCTGAGCTTGGGCATTTCAGGAAGTGTTTAAGTGCCTGGAACGAGAATTGTACAGCAATTAAAAATGCTTTCACACTGGGAAAACAATGCTTCCACAGCACACAAAGTAATTATAGTTTGTGAAAATATCTTAGTCTCAACTAGGGACTTGTTTGGTGCTGGGTACTTAAAACATATACTTAAAAGGCTGAGTGTAGTTTAAAACCCTCTGAAGAAGCTACTTCTGATTTCAGATAAAATGCAAATGAAAAATGTGCTTTCTTTCAGTAGGAAGATTTTAATTATTTTTGTTCACTTATTCATTCAACAAATATTTACTGACAACTGGCTACTATGTATGTGGGACTGTGTTAGAGCAATGGAGGATGTCAGGAAGGGAAGATGTGCCCCCTCTTCTTGTGTGTGTGTGTTTTTTTAAAAATAGTATTTTATTGTGTTTTAGGTGAAAGTTTACACAGCAAATTAGATTCCCGTTTAACAATTTTTATACAATTTGTTTCGTGACACAGGTTACAATTTTCACGATGTGTCAGCATTCTCATTATTTCCATTCTGTTTGTTCTCTTTCCCCTCCTTGCCTTCTCGTCTTTGCTTCTGGGTAAATGTTGACTGTCTGGTATTATATAGTTGATTGTTTAAAGGAGCACATTACTCACAGGTGATATTGTTTATTTTATAAGCCAATCTATTATTTGGCTGAAATAGCTTCTGACCTCCAGAAATAGCTTCAGTTCCAAGTTCAAAGGTTATCTTAGACCGATAGTCTCAGGGGTTCCTCTAGTCTCTATCGGTCCAGTAGGTCTGGCCTTTTTTAGGAATTTGAATTTTGTTCTACATTTTTCTCCCATTTTATCGAGGACCTTCTATTGTGTCCCTGGTCAGAATGGTCAGTAGTGGTAGCCAGGCATCATCCAGTTCTTCTGGTCTCAGGTTAGAAGAGGCTACGGTTCATGTGGGCTATTAGTCCTGTGGACTAGTTTCTTCTTTGAGCCTTTGACTTCCTTCATTCTCTTTTGCTCCATACAAATGGAGACCAATAGTTGTATCTTAGATGGCCACTTGCAAGCTTTTAAGACCTCAGATGCTATGCAACAAACTAGGATGTAGAACATATTTTTGTTTTATATAATCTAATGGGGAGATATATGTAATTATGATCATAATATAACAAACTAATTATCTTAAGTCTTCATTGTCTAATTCCTAAACATCATACCACCACACCTATGAAGAAATGTAAGGTTATAAAAGATTAAAAGACAAATGGACAATGTAACCAGTTGGTTTCATAAGTGCTCTAAGGAAGAAAAGATTATTATGTATGGGAGTGATCCACGGTGTCAAGGAAGACAAAGGACTTGAAGGATGAACACGTCTGTGGCAGGCGGTGAAGCGAGCACAGGGGACTCTAGATGCAGAATAAGGATGGGGCAAGGCCTAGCAGGAGTGTAGGGTTCTTCAATGGAAGCAGCTAGATTCCAGATTGGGAAGTTAGGCTGGTTGGTCCAATTGTGGAAATTCTGAGTGCCACTTAAAGAGCTTAGACTTTATCTGAGAGGCCAGAAATGGCAAATTGTTGGCCTGAAGCCTGAATCCACACATAGACATATTTTCTTTGGCTGGTGTGGTATAGTACAAATATCTGGGCCCACATTTTGAAACTGGGAGATCGATACTTCTGCTTCTCTTGAAACATTATATGATCTGCAATATTGGGCCCAAATTCCAGAACGGCAACAATCTACTGGAGGTGAGTGGCAACTGTCCTCTTCAGACCAGACATGTGCCACCCAGCTGTCCTGCCCTGTCACATAACGGATGCATGGCTTCACCCTATTGCTTCACTTATTTAGGTCCCTGCTTTGGACACTGTAACTCCTGCCTTCGGCAAAAAGGCTTTTTAGCAATGGAAACAAATACTACATTTGGAACTAAACGAAGCATGAGTAACAGAGAGAGAAACTAAAAACAAGGAAAATCGGACATCATTGCAATAATCTAAAGTGAGGTGACAGGGCTTGGATTAGGCTGATTTTCAGTTAGAATGAAAAGGAACAGATGTGAGAAAGATTAATTACAAAGGAAGAAAGTGAATGGGTATGGCAGGGAGAGGGAGAAGTCAAAGTTGACTGAGATTTCAAGTCTGGAGGTCTGGGAGTCAAGGGAATTTTTTAATATTTTCCGTAACCATTCCCGTGGAGGCCAATGTATGTTTTCTTAGCAAATACTAACTCGTGAATATTGGCCACACAGCAAGAAGAACCTCCCAGCCTGAAAATGTCTTTTTTCTCCTTCAAAGTATAAGGCAATGCTCTGATAGTCTTCATTAGTAGTGTCTTCAGAACCTACAACAGAAGTTCATTGAGTAAATTATCTTTGAGTGAAATTTGTTTACTTTTATTGCTAACACAAAAATAAGATCTCAAAACACGTGATCTAAAAATAGGTGATTAAAAAATTTAAAACTGTAAATGTCAATGTTATTATCAGTGTCTGTTTTCATCATAAAACACATTCATTATAATTATCCCAAATATCCACTCTGTGCCATCTTCTTTTCATTCTAAAAAGGAATCAGAAGAGGAAGTTATGAGCGTTTTGTGAGAATCGAGGTTATGGTTTGCCATGACCCTGAGTGACTTTTATCATTCTTTAAGAGTCTCAATCTTATTTCCTAAAACAGCAGCAACAACTATGACTACAACCTCAACCATGATTTGCCTGGAGTTACAGAACAACAGAAGTCAACCACAATACAAATGTGATCCAACTTCTTTCCCTCAGCAATGGGTGGTTTAAACAATTTTGTTGTGGTTAGTTGCCATCAAGGTGATTCCAACTCATGGCAACCCGACGTGTGCAGAGTAGAACTGCTCCATGGGGTTTTCAAGGCTGTGACCTTTCAGAAGCAGATCGCCAGCCCTGTCTTTCAAGATGCCTCTGGGTTGGTTCAAACCGCCATGCTTTCAGATAGCAGTCAAGTGCTTAACTGTTTGTGCCACCCAGGGAACAGGTTTAAACAACAGTCAATGTATATCTGTCGGACAAGGAAGATGACTGATACTCAATTGGCCAATAGCTGCTATTTATAGATATTACTGTTTTTCTTTTAAGTTTTTTGGTTTGGGGCTTAAGAATATTAAACACAGAGAAAGAAGGACTCCAAAGCTGCTGGAGTTCCAATTCATTGTTAACATCTACCCCTAAGTTGAAGGCCCGGTAGGATACTGAAGTCTCGTACCAATAGCTCTGTGCCTGCAGTCCAAGGCAGCTATGAAGTTTATAAAAGGGAATAAAGTAAGGTAGAGAAAATTGTGTGTGTGTGTGTTTTTGCTTGTATCTTTAAAAAAGGATAAGCTCTCTCCTTATGAACTTAGAAAAACTTAAATGCTTTAGTGCAATGATGTTCTGTAATATTAGGAAGACAATGTCATCTGTCAAGTTAAATAATGACAATTCTAATACCACTTTTATGTGCAGTTCCTTTTTTTCTTTAAATCTTTATTATCTCCAGTTATCTTAATGACTTTCTAAGATTTTAGAAGATGCCTTTCCCCATGAATACTGAAATCAAAATTTTCTCATGAATCCTATCAATTTCTGTGGTCATTTTGCGAGTTTTAGAAAACAAAAACAAAGCAAAACAACAACAACGACAAATACTGTTATGTATGGCCCATAAGATGAAAATCTGAAAATCATTTCAGTAGCTCTGAGAATAACAAGCATGGGAAGAAAACCTATAAGTGGGTATTCCCAGAATATAAAGTTCTTTTTTGGACCTTCAACATCTTTCAAAACCACAGCTTCTGTACCTCACACTTCATCAAAGTACATATTATTAATTTGTAACTCTATTTTTTAAATTCATGAATACATTTTTTAAAATTACCCTGCATTTCCTATTTCCTATCACCTTCTTTTGGAAACTTGTTTAACCACTGGTTGATAAATGGCAGGGTTTGGGCAATGTGGCCTTTCGTAGCATTCACCCAAAAAGTCTTAATTTCTGAAAACTGAAAATGGTCCTTCTTATAATACCATCTTACCTTTAAGGTGACAGTAACTAACTACTAACTAACCAGTTGTCATCAAATCAATTCTGACTCATGGCAACCCCATGTGTGTCAGAGTAGCGCTGTACTCAACAGGGTTTTCAATGGCTGATTTTTCAGAAAATAGATCACCAGGTCTTTCTTCCAAGGCGCCTCTGGGTGGACTTGAACCTTCAACCTTTTGGTTAGCAGCCAAGTTAATCATTTACACCACCCAGGGCCTCTTAAGATGATAGCAGGGACCTTGAAATCTAGCAAGTAACATATGTATATGTGTGTCTATATATACACATATATACAGGTGTGTATGTGTGTGTCTATAAATGATATGGGTGTATGTGCTTGTGTGTATATCAATCTGATTATCAGATAAGAGTCAGAGTTTTCATGATAAAAATGTTTAAGAGCAATTAGGGAAAGCAATGGTATTTACCGATAATGTCTGCATAGATTTCCATTTTGTTGTGCTGCTGAGCCAGTGTGAAAGCTTCATTGTTACATTTGGACATGACAAGAAACTGGATGGCAGACCCATAGTCACCTAACTGTAGAAAAAACCTAAAACAAAATACTTTAATTAGCTTGACTATTATTTAAAATTAATTTGTGATTTACAAAATTAAGTATTTTGCAATTATGAGAAACCATTTAAAAATAAAAGTTTATTAGTTAAACTGCAGTTCTGCATTATATGTTTATACTTGAAAAACATAATCTCATACGCTGTCCACATGAGCCTTTGAATTTAAACATCCACACCTAGTAAAAACATAAAAAAGAATAGCTATTCCTTTTGAATTTATTTCTTCGATGAGGGGAAGGTGAAGTTTTCTTTTTAAGGCTAGTTTTTGGAAGTTCAAAACTATGAATGCATTCTGTTACCTGGCTACCATCTTGGCTCCATCCAGAGACTGGGTCTCTCTGACAATGCTGACAGCTTTTTCGGGATTGTTGAGGTGATCCAGATAGATACGGATTACACTATTCCACTGTTTGGCGTTTTCATAAGCCACAACAGCTTCTTTGTATCTGCAAGAAATACTTAGTTTAGACAAACTTTCTTATTAACACTGTCATATTAGGGGTGGTGGTGGGTGTCAATAAATGTTTGGAATACTTTTCTATTTTATTGATGGTAGCTGCTTATTTTTCTTGAACTTTTTTCCTTCATCAGAAAAAATACCAGAAATCATTCCACTAAAAACCATGTTCTCTTTAGGGGTTTGATAAACCCAACAGTAAGATACCAATACTGAATTGTGTTTTCTCATCTGAAGCATATCAATATAATTTTTTACATTTTACTGTTTTTTTTTTTTTTTTGAGTAGGAGGACTCTGAAAAGTAATATAGGCTTATTGTAGAAAACAGAAAGCACAGAATTTTTCACAAGTACAGATACAGCTCAACAGTGATTTATAAGAGAGTGAGCTCTAGATGGCGCTCAAGACCTCTCTTCAGTCCCCACTAGTCCAGCTCTTCCCATTTCAATAAGACTTTCAGTGTAGAACTCTATTTCCTAAGGTTATTTTTCTAAAAGTAGAGGGTATTAACCTTTAAAAATCTTTTTAAAGCATATCACCAAATTACTTCCCAAAAGCTACAGAAATTTACACTCCCATCAGTCACGTATAACAAGTGCAATTTGACACAAATAAATCTTTCCCAATATGACTGTGTAAAACGATACATTGTTGCTTGAATTTAATTACTTTTAGTAAGGTAGAACTTTTTGCACGTGTATTTGATAGTTGTATTTCCTTGTCTGGGACTTGTCATCTTGTTCTTGGCCCGTTTTCCTATTAGTTTTTGACTTGCTTGTATTAAGCTGCAGGCGATCTTTATATATTTAGGATATTAACGATCCACTGCTATATTTTAATACTGCTTTGTGGCTTACACAGTGCAGCCATATGTGTGGATCCACGTTTCTTCACGTTCCTTTCCATCTGTATCCCTAAATTATCCTCCTTAATAAAGTTATTATCACTTCATGTGCAGGCCATATTATATCAAAATTTCAACTTCCAGTATTTAACCCTCAAATAAAAAGAGAGAGTAATCTATATTTAAATACATAACGGAGGGACTGAGGAATATAAGGTATAGGAAAATTTTACAGGCTGGCGTGTCAGGCTGGGGAGAAGTACGGAAAAATGTTTTCTGTCTTTCTCTGCTTTGCCTTTCTTGCTGTTGTTAGGTGCCATCAAGTCGATTCCAACTCATAGTGACCCAATGTGACAAAGTAGAACGGCCTCACAGGATTTTCTAGGCTGTAATCGTTATGGAAGCAGATCACCAGGTCTTTCTCCCATGGGGGAGCCAGGTGGGTTCCAATTGCCAACCATTCAGTTAGCAGCCGAGCACTTAACCATTGTGCCACCAGGGCTCCCTTTGCCTTTCTTAGAAGGTTGCAAAAATCAATGGCTATTTTCAAAAACTTACATTGATTTAAATCTGTATAAATCTGTGAAACTGTACAAACCTTCCATCTGCTTCTTTAGCTTTGGCATACTGCAAGTGAATCTTAGGAGAAGAAACATGTGACAGAAGCTCACCAACTTTTGCCCTAGAGAGAGAGATTCAGGAGGAGAGTATCAACACTGCATTCACTCCAAAAGCAGCATTCTTCAACCAAGTGTTAATTTTTAGGATTCAAAAACAGTTACTCTTATCTTGGCTCCTACAGATAAAAAACCCAAAACCAAACCCATTGCTGTCGAGTCAATTCCGACTCAAAGTGACCCTATAGGACAGAGTAGAACTAACTGCCCCATAGGGTTTCCAAAGAGCATCTGGAAGATTCAAACTGCCCACCTTTTGGTTAGCAGCTGTAGCTCTTAACCACTACAGCACCAGGGTTTCCTCCTATAAGTAAAAGCAGATTTAATTGCTTTTTCACTTGACTGGTAGACCCAAGGTAGGAAAAGAAGGGTTACTTCATTAACTCTTTGGGGGCAATAGGACCTTTTTTTCCCCTAGTAATTTATCTAATCAGGGATTTCCCATGCCAAACCAGATGAATGCACTGTTCTTT